AAAAAATAAAAATAAAAATAAAAATAAAATAAAATAAAACAACTTAGAAATTAAAGGATTTTGATGCCTTTAATTTTAAAACGTACAGTGTGGTTACAGACGTGATGGTCTAACCGACTAACGCATGAGATCGCCTTGCGGTCAGTTTAATTTTTTAGATGTTTTTACATGCACAGATGTTATTACACTTACGCAAGTTGTCTTTTAAGATTGCTCATCTCCTTGCTTTGAGACGCTGTTTGCTCTTTTAATTTCTGCAATTCAAAATGAAATTCAAAACTCACATTTTTTACTAATAACAGCGATGAAAATATTCTAAATAATCCTCACTTTCTTGAAAGTAATTTAAGTGAAGTTTCAGTGACGCAGTCGCTATTTTGCAAATTCAAATATTATGGTTTTCCAATAAGGATCCTCAAATAATAAAAATAAAAAAAAAAAACGTGTAAAATTATTAAGGACCTCAAGAGAGATTCTACTGATCCAAATCTAGTTATAACGGTTATAGATTTATTTGGAAAAGTGCATTCCATAATAGGCGATGTCAATATTCATTATATTGAGCGATATTTCTTCAGCGTTGCGGTCAGCGGTTGTACTTAGAAGACTCAGCCCAGTCCCCTGTTTGTGACTGCGTGTTCCAGTTGTTAATAACTTGACTAACCTGAATCTTTACTTCTTTACTGGTCTTTGTCAGTTCTTTCGGCAATGACTCCGTCCTAAAAAACCGTGGAGAGAGAAAAGAAAGTAATGCGTTGATAACAAAAAATGGAGAATATTTCGCGAAGGACTAGTAAAATCTGTAAAAACCTAGATTGCGCAAGTGACCTTAAAAGAGGAAGAAATTTAACACTTCTGTTTTTTCGTTTTGGTTTTTTTTTTTTTTTTTTTCCTTTTTGCAATATTTTCTTGTCGTTTCTTTCTTCCGACCCAAGGGTAGAATACATAAATTAATTGCATGTTTCCCTACCTTTTGAGCAATCTAATGGTTTGAAGATTGTCTTCCTTGACAGCTACGGTTTGAAGTTTCAAAGGCTGGAAATGAAAGAAAAAAACAAAAACAAAAACAAAAACAAAAAACGTATAAGTGAGTGATTGCGACTTCTTCAGCCTGTTCTAAATAAAATCCCGACTAATTAAGAAACAGCAAAACACAGAACTTGATTTGTCTTGCGATAGCTAAATTAGTTTCATGCTATACTAATTTTACTCTCCTTTCTAAATTGCGGTTTACCGTGTGTGAATTTGAAACAAACGGAAATTTATCATTGGTAAGCTGCTATCACACGCTTCGTATTCACTTCTCGCCTCTAACGACCGCTCGAAAATCTACGGCACTGTCAGAGCCTTGTTTTACTGGTATGGCCATGCGCAAAAGAGAAGGTATTAGTGCTCGTGTCCAGGGTCTCCCGTCTCGAGAGCGCGAACAAACCTCGGCCTGATCGGCGGAAATTTTTCGTGGGAATAAAAAATTATTAATTAAAATTGCCATTTTGGAATAGTGTATCATAATTCATAAGACAGAGGAAAAGGTTACATCCATCTACTTAGGGTCAGCTCTGCTATACGTTCATGATGCGTTCAGTCTCGACAGGAAAGAAAATCCTTTCTGCGTCTGCTGGCTAAAAGCCATAGAATTAAATTGCTTTTCTTCTTATCGATTAAGTACTCGCGACTTAATTGATATGTTTAACTAAATAATATCTTAGCTATAGCTTAGTTCCGCTAAAGACGGAATTGAAGACAGTAAAGATGGGAAAAAATGGCTGCACAAACATATTGCCTTCCCTCTACCGGCAAAAATTGCAAATCTCTCAACTAAGCAGTGACCCCACTCAGCTGTTTGGCAAAAACTGTTCTGAAAAGGTAGATTACCTGATTTGATTCAGTCTTGCTCTCAGATTTCAAGGTAGGAGCTTCCTCTCTTTGCTCAGGCATATCCGCTGCGAACAAAGTTCACGCCGTCTTCAGTAAAGATTCTCAAATCCCAAATCAGAATTCAGGACAAATTTTAGGCATAAAAATACGAAGTTGAGAGCTTTGGCAAACGTATACGTGCATATAGAACAATAATTACAATACCTTCTTGGATAGCAGCCATTGTGAATCACTTTCAATGCTGTATAATTCTTCTTTGTGTAAAATCAGCGGTCCAAATTTCAACGCAGCTAACTCGTTGTTCACCTACTCTGACTGTGAAAAGAACGTTTGCATTCATGACGTAATAATGGACTACACGCGCCTAATACGTTAAAGCGCGCGCTCGCACACGCTCGCACGCGCAGCTACACCCAAAACTATTTGTATGGAATATTAGAATACTGGAGTTTGTATGGATTTGAAATTTCATCGAAACTCTGAAAACTACCTCCTGTTTTCCTTTGACAAGATACAATACAGTTTAAACCTCAAACGGTACCCCGGTTTCCTGTCTTTTAAGCGTTTCTGTATGCCGTTTCAACGATTTTACTAAGTTCTAAGGCCTGACCGGTACACGATT